TTTGACAGAGCGATAGAGCACAAGCAGGGGGGCAATGGGGTGGGAGATAGTGAGAAGCAGACTCCCTGCTGAGCAGGGAGCCCAGTGTGGGGCTCGATCCCAGTACCCTGGGATCATGACCTGAGCCAAAGACAGATGCTAACCATCTGAGCCACCCAGGCGTCCCCACTGGTGAAATTTTAAATGAGGGTAGTAACAGAAATGTGAACTGGGAAACAGTTTTGTGGTATAGTTATAGTTGATGAATAATAACAAAAGCCACTTTTGTTTATCAACCACTTACGGTAAGTTAAGAATACTGCAGAATGTTTTATTTCATGTTCCTGTTTATGAGAATATTCTAATCCTCACTCTAGCAATGCAAGATCGGGGTTTAGAGTCTTTAGTCACCTAGGATGTATTCTTAGAGCTATTAGAAGCAGGCTGTTTGACCTCTGTACCTTTGCCTTGAAACACTTGAATGTTTTTCATCAATTAAATTTTTTTTTCCAGCCTAAATCCCTTACTTATGCTAATCGCTCTTACAGAGAACAAAACAGAGCCTCAGTCTGTTCACTGCCGTGTGTCTGGAGGGAGTGGAGTATTTATTGTAATCACTTGATACCATTTAAGAAAATCAAGGCGATCTCTTATTTGTGCCCTTATTTAAATTTGTATTACGTGGTTTTAGTGTTCCGGATTTCCTAATGACTAGTAACAGGGTGAAATTTAATCGCCAGGTTGAGGACTGTATCAGTTTCCCTAGAAATCCCTTCTAGTTCTTGGCCAGGGCAAGCATAATGTCTTTTGCACAAAGTGGTCTTCTTTTGTCAACTCCTGCCTTTTCAGTATGGTCTACAGAACCCTCTACAGCTTCCCACTTGCCCAAGAACTTGGAGTTCCTTGTAGATTTCAGTGGCTTTGTGTTTTCTTCCAGCAGCCAAATGAATTATTTGAAGGGAAGTTCTCTGTCGAAACTGAGTCTGCCTAGAATAGCAACTAAATATGGAGCAATACCCATACCAGTGCTTTTAATATATTTTCTGCTTTGGGCAAATAAGGTGTACAGTTTTACTCTTTTAACTTGTTGAAAGAAATACATTTAGGTAGACTTGGCAAACTCATTGACTATTCTTTCTGTAATGGAATAAAAGCAGTGTATTTCTAGTGTTAAGACAACTCTGATATTTCTGTGATATAATTGCTAAGTTTTTTGTTTGTTATCTGTTTTTTAAGTAGGCTCTATGCCTAACATGGAGCAGAAACTCATTACACCAAGACCAGGAGTCCCATGCTCCACTGACTGAACCAGCCAGGCACCCCTGTGGTTGTTAAATTTTATACGTTTTTAAATAATTTTATTTTTTATTTTTTTTATTTAAGAAAAATTTTTAAAGATTTTATTTATTTATTTTACACAGAGAGAGAGATCACAAGTAGGCAGGGAGGCAGGCAGAGAGAGGGGGAAGCAGGCTGCCTGCTGAGCAGAGAACCTGATGCGGGGCTCGATCCCAGGACCCTAAGATCATGACCTGAGCTGAAGGCAGACGCTTAACCCACTGAGCCACCCAGGCACCCCAATAATTTTATTTTTTAATCTGATTTTTATTATTTAGATCAAGTAGCCTATGACCTCATGTCGGGGTCATTCAGCAGAGGAAATACAAATGTCCAATGATGTGAAAAATTAAACCTCATTAGTAACTAACGTTTTAAAATTATGTATCTGTGTATTTAAAATAGTCGCCAAGGATTTTTGAAATGATACAAATGCTGGTTAATGGTATAGTGAAACTCCTATACATCTGGTGGATAGCAATTTGGTAATATTAAAATAACTTTATGCAGCAATTCCACTTGTTTGAAAACTTAAAAATAATCTGAAACATTGGGCATTTGTTATAGTAAAAAAAAGAATCAGTAACATAATTACTGAGAATTTGCTTTTTTTTCCAGTTTTAAGCAAAGCAGCTCAAAGTAAATATTTCCTTTGATGCTCATGGTTATTCCATAAGTTAAAGATGTTCTTTTTTTTTTTTTTTTTTTAAAGACATTCTTATTTTCATATATGTTATTTACCTTCTAAGTTCAGGCTAGGCTTGTAACTTCTCTGAGTCTTACTTTTCTTCCTGTGAAATTGACATAACTTCTGCTCTTTCTTGCGTTGTTGTGAGAGTCAGATGAAGTAGAATGGCTAGGCAATGTTTGTAAACCATGAGGCAGTGAGAAATATTTACAAATTAAGGGAGAAATGTAAAAATTCTATATGTATTATCTGGGCAGCACAATAGGAAAATAGTATTTATAGGAAGATACTTTTTTTGTGGGTTCAGGTTTTGTTTTTTTATTAAGTATATCAGTCTTTTGTGTTCTTATTTGAGCATCTTTTGTGTGTATATCTCTATATAAAAGCTCTTTTTGGGGGTGCCTGGGTCGCTCAGTGGGTTGGGCCTCTGCCCTCAGCTCGGGTTATGGCTCGGGTTATGGTCTCGGGTCCTGGGATCACACCCTGCATCTGCTCAGCAGGAAGCCTGCTTCCTTCTCCCTCTGTCTCTGCCTGCCTCTTTGCCTACTTGTGATCTCTCTCTCTGTCAAATAAATAAATAAAACCTTTTAAAAAAAAAACCCAAAACCTCTTTCTTTGCTACATAAGCGGCATAAGTTGCCATTATGGAAAACAATATGGAGGTTCCTCAAAAAATTTTAAAGAGAACTACCAGCAATCCTACTTCTAGGTATATATCCAAAGAAAATGAAATCAGTATCTTTGGAGAGATATCTGCACCCTTGTATTCATTGCAGCATTATTCACAATAACTAAGAAATGGAAATGACTTTAATTTTTATATATTTATATTTTTAAAAAAAGATTTATTTATTTGACAGAGAGATTAAGAGTGTAATTAGGCAGAGCAGCAGGCTGAGGGAGAGGGAAAAGTAGGCTCTCCATTGAGCAGGGGGCCAACATGGGGCTCTATCCCAAGACTCTGGGATCATGACCTGAACTGAAGGCAGCCACTTAACCAACTGAGCCACCCAGGTGCCTCTGGAAACAACTTTAGTGTATAACAACAGATGATGGGATAAAGAAAATTACTATATGAAAAAAAATTACTATATATATGCAGTGGAATATTATTCAGCCACAAACAAAGAAGGAAATCTGCCATATGTGTGGTAGCTGTATACTAAGTGAAACAAGCCAGATTAATGCTGTGGATTTCCCTTAAAAATCCATCCCCCCAATCATTCTCCATTGTATTTAAAGAAATATACAATAAGATAACATAACATCAAAATGTCTAATACACAATCCAGAATCGCTTGACAAGTGAAGGACAGGAAAATCTCAAGAACTTGTAAGGAAAAGACAACCTACACACAATAAACCCAAGACAACAAAGATGTTGGAATTATCAGAGAATTTATTATTATTATTATTATTTTTTGATCAGAGTGTGTGCACACCCATACAAGTGGGTGGAGTGGCAGGAAGAGAATCTTGGGACTCTGGAATCATGACCTGACCTGAAGGCAGACACTTAATGACTGAGCCACCCAGGCGTCCCCAGACAAAGACTTTAAAGCGGCTGTTATAACTGTGTTTCAGAAAGTCAAGTTTAAAATCAGTGGAGAGTGATGAGGGGAGGACGGTTTTTTAAAAGCAGGCATTTGACTTTGTTAGGTTCAGATCACAAACTTCCAACCCATCTTCTTTGCACTAAAATTCCGATGTCTAGTTTTCAAAGCCTTTGCAGAGGACTTTGGGTCTGTTCTCTCTTTGCACCCCTAGTGGCTAATTTGGGGACGTGATAGTACTATTAGGGTCAGATACACATATGCATAGTTCTGGAGTGACCTCAGGAGTGTTTCTAGATCTTCATGGTATCAGTTTTTCGAGCTCTTTTCTCTTTACAAGTTCTCCGATACTTTCTGGCTCCTAGAGACCCTCTTCCTTGTCCCATGGTTGGACAGTTGGGGCTTCATTTCTCTGTTTTACTGTATACTTCCATAACCACATTTGAGTTTGATGCCAAACAAGATGGCAGAGAAAGAAAGCCATGTGGATTCCCTTCACACTTACGGGAACAAAAGGATTCTGTTTTATTGGAGTTTTAGGTCCCTGTTTGGCCACTGTTGATATTATCACTGCCAGGGCTGCTGCCCTTGGCTTGTTTGGGGGCATAGGTCAAGGGGAAGAGGGAAAAACCTAGAAAACCCCATCTCCTTAGGGGCCCCCTTTATGGATACTTAGACCAAAAAGAATTCTTTTGGAGCCAATTCTGTCTGTACTTTGTTGGCAGTTCTGAGTTTGTACTGCCTTTGAGTCTAGGCTGAGTGGTCCCAGAGGAAACAAAACCAGGAAATTCACTTTGGGGTTAGTATGACTTAGAGTTGTGGTTTCCTCCTCCAGGCTGACTACCATTTCCAGGGTCCTTAGATAGCTGCTTCATGCCTTTTGTCCAGGTTTTTAGTTATATTCAGCCTGAGAGACAGGACAGACTATGCTAATTCCTTTTTTTTTTTTTTTTTTTTTAACCAGAGCCAGAACATAGGTACCTTTTAATATTCCTACAACTGTATTATTCATTTGTTTTGGTTAAGAATTTATTGAGCACTCATGGCATGCTAATCTTTGCCGGAAATGTAAAGATGGATAATCTTTAAGTACTTACAGTAGATCCACAGTTAGGCATGTGATAGGGGGGTGGAGGCTGAAAGTAAACAATTTCATATTACACAATAATAATTTAGTCATTAATCTTATCCTTTTGATCTATTTCTACTTCAGGACTTGACATGTGGTTTGTGGCTAAAAAAGAGAAGAACCTATTTATATTCCATTAATTTTCTGTTTTTCTTATTGTCCCAAAATATAAAGGATAGAAAGTCTGTGGATATATATGTGCTGGATGAAATTAATACTTAGTTTTAATAAGAATAAGAAATATAATTACATATTTAATTATTGTAACTTAAAATAAGAAAAAATAATTTATTATTATATACTTGTTTCTCAGGTCTTAGAAAAATACCCCAATACACCCATGAGTCATAAAGAAATTCTTCAAGTTATCCAGAGAGAAGGACTAAAAGAAATCAGGTGAGTTATTTAAATTTTATTAGTGATAATTACAATACTTGGTTAGATCATTTCATCGTGTAAGCAGTGTACATTACTCCTGAAGATTGATTACTTAGTAATAACTGCTTTGCTAGTTTCTTATTTATTTAGTTGTCAGATCATTGAAGTTTTCGGTTGTAGCACAGTCACAAAACCACAAGTAAGTTTAAAAAAAAAAAAAAAATCTTAGCTGTGTCCAACCCATGCACTTTAATTCTTAGGAAGGCCTGGAGCCATCTTCAAGCCTTTATCTATGAGTTCAGGTTTTTTATTTAATAAGCTTGTCATTAGCAGGTGAAAAGTACTGTCTAGTACAGGGAGAATGCTAGAGGTGGACAGTCTAGGAAGAAATAACCTTGGCCCAGAGGAATAAAGTGGAAAAGATACAAACAAAGCAGTATATATTTCAAGTAATAGTTTTATGTACAGCAAATAAAACAGCTTAGGGTCAATTAATACAGGACCAAAGATAAAACATTCTTTAATTTCTAAGAGCCTTGTATTAATAATAGCAAATAATAGTCACTTCATAATCAAGACCCTCTGCCATCAAGAAACAGTAAAATTACGGTCAGCATACTTGGTGTTGTAAATGTGGAAATCTGGGAGTCTGCCTGAGATATTGTCGCCAAGGTGGAAAAGGTTGCAGTGCTTTAAAGCTGCGGCTAGTTGTTCTCAAGTAGGGGTGGCATTGTGTAAACGCCCTTAGGGAAGGTGTCCAGAATTTATGGGGTTATTTTTGATTTTCAGAGTGTCTGGAAAGAAGGAGAGCACTGTGGCATGTAATGTTCAGGAAACAGGGAGGCTAATATTGTGCTATATAGTCCTTCACACCGAAGAATTGTTCAGCTCAGATGCCAGAGTAATAGTGAGCTGTGCTGAAATATTTGTAAATGGACAATAATAAGTTTTTTTATATGTAGCTATTGCGTGTTCTAGATTTTAATTCTCATTTTCTTTAATACAAAATTGAGTTCTTGGCCCTTTGCTAACACAGCTAAAAAAATTTTGTTTTGACTTGTGGCCAAATGTCAGTAGGCTGGGAATAAATTAGGTTTGGACAGACAGAGATCACAAGGAGGCAGAGAGGCAGGCAGAGAGAGAGAGGAGGAAGCAGGCTCCCCGCTGAGCAGAGAGCCCAATGTGGGGCTCGATCCCAGGACCCTGGGGTAATGATCTGAGCCTAAGGCAGAGGCTTAACCACTGAGCCACCCAGGTGCCCCAAGGAATTAGCTTTTAAACATTTTTGTAAATTAAAAAAGTAATCTCTTAATTTATCAATGATACAAATCTAAGTATTTATTTGAATTAGGTAAGATTTATTAGATTAAAACTAAAGCATAATGCCTGTTTATTTAATTTTTTCACCTTAAAAAAAAAAAAAGGATTTATTTATTTATTTATTTGACAGACAGAGATCACAAGTAGGCAAAGAGGCAGGCAGAGAGAGGAGGAAGCAGGCTCCCCGCAGAGCAGAGAGCCCAATTGAGGGGCTCGATCCCAGGAACCTGGGATCATGACCTGAGTCGAAGGCAGAGGCTTTAACCCACTGAGCCACCCAGGCGTCCCTAATTTTTTTACTTTCTAAAAAAATTTAAGCCGAGTTAATTAGCATATAGTGTATTATTAGTTTCAGAAGTAGAGTTCAGTGATTCATCAGTCTTATGTAATACCTAGTGCTCATTACCTCATGTGCCCTCCTTAATGTCCATCACCCAGTTACCCCATCCCCGCATAATGTCTATTTAATACCACCAATTTGTGCAAAGCTATAGGAGAAAAAGACAGTAATTTTTGTGGCCTGAGAAACAATTCTGCTAAGGTATTCTAATATTCTTTTATAACAGTGTTGACTTATAGAATAGGAATGAGCCAGAGATTTTTTTTTTTTTTTCCCCCTTAAAAATTAGACTTTTGAAACACTGGGGAAATTGACCAGGGTGTCTGGTGTATAGAGACCAGACTCCCATCAGTCCCTTAGCTCTGAATGCCAGTTGCAGGGTCATTAAGCTCCAAATTTCTAAGGCTCTATGACTTTATACTTGTCATTATCATTTCTAAGGAGCAGTCAAGAATAGTAAATAAGTAAAGAATAGTAAATAAACAAAGAAGGAAAGAAAGAAGAAATTTAGAAAAAGTAACCAGATGGAAGAGTCATCAAAAATAGCTTCTGGCTTTGCTTAGTGGTAACAATTTATAAGTAGATGTTCTTGTTTAAACTATATTGTTGTGATGCAGTTATGGGACCACAAAGCAGTTCTAACTCACCAGTGACTTCCATTTTGTTAACTCCATGTGACTTTTAGTACCTGGCTCTTGCTCCTTAACATTTTTTTTTTTTTTAAAGATTTTATTTATTTATTTGTCAGAGACAGAGGGAGAGAGAGCGAGCGAGCACAGGCAGACAGAGGCAGAGGGAGAAGCAGGCTCCCCGCCCATCAAGGAGCCCGATGCGGGACTCGATCCCAGGACGCTGGGATCATGACCTGAGCCGAAGGCAGCCGCTTAACCAACTGAGCCACCCAGGCGTCCCGCTCCTTAACATTTTTTAACACAGCTGAATACTGCTTCCTTCCTGAAACTCTCTCTCTCTCTTTTTTTTTTTTTTTTAAGATTTTTATTTATTTATTTGACAGACAAGAGATCACAAGTAGGCAGAGAGGCAGGCAGAGAGAGGAAGGGAAGCAGGCTCCCTACTGAGCAGAGAGCCCGATGCAGGGCTCGATCCCAGGACTCCGGGATCATCACCTGAGCCGAAGCAGAGGCTTTAACCCACTGAGCCACCCAGGTGCCCTGTGAAACTCTCTTTTGTTACCTGAAGCGACCACAGGCATTCTTCCTTCTTCCTTCTCAGTTTTTTTGCTCAGTATCTTTTTCTTTCTTTCATTCATTCATTCATTCATCCATTTATTCATTCGACAGGCTCGAGCACATGTGTGCACAGCAGGGGGATCACCAGGCAGTGGGAGAGGGAGAAGCAGGCTCACCAAACAGGGAGCCCAATGTGGAACTCCATCCCAGGACCCTGGGATCATGACCTGAGCCAAAGGCAAACGCTTAACGACTGAACCACCCAGGCATCCCTGCTCTTTACCTTCTACCTTAAGTGCAATTTTCCATTCTCATCGCTTTAAGTATTACATGTTGTCAATTCTCAAATAGGTAGGGAAGCTGTTTCCCACCTTAGCCTTTGTATATCCTGCCTTCATAGCAGGAAATGTGCTTTTCTCTCAGTTCCATCTTACTTGTCAGGTGTTAGTTTGAATATGTATTTTTCAGAGAACTTTGAGTTTACGAGCTAGAGCAAATTTCCTTTTATAGTGTATTATAGTGTCCTGTTTATTTCTTTATAAGACTTGAAATTACATATTTTTGTGATCTTAAAAAAAATCACACAGCTTCTCTAGGGCTTATATTAAGGGATCTGTGCGAGGGCAGTGGCATCTCCTCTTCTTCCCACTCCTCTTTTGTGTTTGGTACACACCAGACATTGAAATCCTACTTGTTAATACGTGATGAAGTATCAGACGTTGGAAGATTATACTCAGATGTAGTTACAGTTTATCCTCTTGCTGCAGTGATGTGTTAAGTGATAGTCTTAAAATTTTAAAGTTTTTAGAGGGGTCATTTTAGACAAATAGATAATTTCTTTATTGAAGATGTGCTACTTTTTAGTTAATTTTCAGTCTTCAGTCCTCAGTACATGGCTTTCAATCCTTTTTTCCCTTTGTAGTTTTCCATGTGTTCCCCATTCTGAAGAAGCTCACTTAATTTTGAGTAGCCCATATTATATTGTTTTATTTTAAAATATATTAAAGAGGAAATGGCCCAAATGTCCATCAAAAGATGGGTGTGTAAGTAAAGTGTAGTATACACATTCAATGGAATATTATTCGACTTAAGAAGAATTGGAATTCTGGGGCACCGGGGTGGCTCAGTCAGTTAGGTGGCTGCCTTCAGCTCAGGTCATGATGCCAGAATCCTGGGACGAGTCCCACCCACATGAGGGACTTCTTCTCCCTCTGCCTGCTGCTCCCCTGCTTGTGCTCTCTCTCTGTCTGACAAATAAATAAATAAAACCTTTAAAAAAAAAAGAAGAATTGAAATTCTGATACATGCTATGTGGGTGAACCTGAAAAACATGCTAAGTGCAATAAAACAGACACAAAAGGACAAATAGTGATATAACAGGGGGAAAAAAAAGGACAAATATTGTACAGTTCCATTTATATGAGATACTTAGAACAGGCAAACTGATAGAGACACAGAGTAGAATAGAGGTTACCAGGGGCTGAGAATAGGGAAGATCGGAAAGTTATTGATTTAATTAGTACAATTAGTACAGAGTTTCTTTTTGGGATGATCCGAAAGTTCTGGAAATGGACAGTAGTAATGGTTGTGCAACATTGTGAGTGTACTCAGTGCCGCTGAAATCTACACTTACAAGTGGTTCAGATGGTAATGTGTACATTATGTATATTTTGCCAACCAACCAACCAACCAACAAAAAAAGTATTAAACATGAAGTGATTGGCTCGTGGCTGAGAAAGACTAATGTACTAGTCTCTTCAAGAACTTAAAAGGGTTTTTCAGAGATGCTTTTTTGCAGTCTCTGAGTTATACAGTTCTATAAGTCTCAGGGTCTGGTCACCAGACAAAAGCTACATGGTAATGTGAACAGGGAAGTTATTCAGTTAACTGGTTAAGTCATTAGTTGGTTAACCAGAAGTTAACTATTTAAGGGGAGCAACCAGTACCTAAAGGGCTGAGGCAGTGTGCCTTAAGAAGAGTAACTTTCAAGGTCTCCCTCTATGTCCCTAGGTTGTGATTCTTAGTGAAGTAGGTGGGGCTCTGGTCCAGTGGAGACAAAGATCACTGGTGCTGTAGCCTGGCCTGGCAAATAGGAAACTGCCTACTGGGTATTAGTAGAATTTGCTGGAAAGCCTCCTGCTGGGCAGTTGTCCCACATTCACTGCAGAGCCAGCTGAGGCACCAGCAGAATTTTCTGGGAAGCTACCCACAGTCATTCTGCTGAACCTTGCTGAAGGTTGGGTGCCACTGAGTGTCCCTCATGTTGCTGGGTGCTGCCTGCCATAAGAGCGGGCAGGCAAGAGCACAGTAAAACCAGAAGAAAAGCCCCCTTTCAGTCTGCAGCGTCCTTCCAGCGCTCTGCTGACAGAACTTAACACCGAGCCAGCTGGCAAAGAAGTGTTTATAGGGTCCAGCTCCACTACCACAGAGAAGGATAAAGAAGGTTGAATTTGGAGGTAAAAATCAGTAAATTGATAATTAGCTGAGCAGCTTTCAGTGGTTTTTCAGTAGAATAACTGAGTTCATTGTCTGGCCCCACACACCACTTTGATTTACTTGATTTGTTTCCATCCGCTCTCTAGCGGAGTGGATACACGGCTGTTTTCTGTATGGAATCTAGGATTTCTTACCTTAGGACATTGATCAATCTTTTATCTTCACTTTTTTATGAAAAATCTTGACAGTGTTTTAAAACCAACTCATGTTTTTTCTTATTTAGCCTGTTTATCTGGTGGATTTTAGGTTTTTTTTAAAAAAGGTTTATTTATTTATTTATTTATTTGGGGTACCTGGGTGGTTCAGTCGATAAGCAGCTGCCTTTGGCTCAGGTCATGATCCCAGGGTCCTGGGGTTGAGCCCCACATTGGGCTCCCTGCTTGGCAGGAAGACTGCTTCTCCCTCTCCCACTCCCCCTGCTTGTGTTCCTTCTCTCACAGTGTCTCTCTCTCTCTCTCTGTCAAATAAATACAATCTTAAAAAAAAAAAAAAGAAAAAGATTTTGGTTATTCACGTGAGAGAGAGAGCACAAGCAGGGGGAGAGGCAGAGGGAGAGGTATACTCCCTGCTGAGCTGGGAGCCTAATGTGGGGCACGATTCCAGGACCTGAGCTGAAGGTAGACACTTAATCATCTGAGCCTTCTTTTGAATAATTTGAGTTTTGCAGTATAATATATTTTATTTCACTTATATATTAGTTCATTTCTCTTTCCCTCATGGAGTGTAGTAATATTGAATGCATTTTTGTCTGATAAGTCTAAATCTGGATAATCTCAGGGTTGGCAACTGTCCATTGCTTTTCCCTTGAGAATTGCTTACATTTTCCTGGATCATTGTTTACTGAGAAATTTAAGGTTGTATTCTGGACGTTTTGAATATTATATTATTTTAGGCTCTGCTTTACTATTATAAACCTCTGGAGAATGGTGATTCCTTGCTTTGTTCCTTTCATCCTTCTTTCCAGTCAATCCTGTTGTCAACAGACTACATGTTCGCTCTTCTGTAGGTGTTGGTTCAGTAATCAGGTTGATTTTAAAGCCTTTGCGTTAGTGTTTGAGATTTGTTTCATGCATGTGCCACTCAGGGTTATTAGTCTGCAATGTGAGCTGTGGGTCAGTTCTCAAAGCCTTTCCTGTGTTGGTTGGGAATGTCCCAAGTGTACAGAGCTCTGGGACGAGCCCACACCTCCTGTGAGAATTAGGGTATTCCTTGTCCTATTCTTTTCTCTCAGGAATACCATTTCCCCTACGCCCAGCCTTTGGTGTTCTTTTTTTCCCTGTCTTAGCCAGAAAGATAGAGCTTTTCTCATAATTTTATCTGTCGCCTACAGTGGTATATCTCCTCAACCAGGGTCTGCTCTTTAATAAAATGGTGAGAAAACCCCCGGAAAACTCACGATGTGTGAATTTAGCCAACTGCACCGTTTAGAGGGAACAGTTCACATGATTGACTTCACTTATTAGTCCCAACGGCATAGTTCAGAGAACCCCAAGACTACTCTCAAGGCTCCACAATTTGTTCAAGTGCTTGTATAACTCACTGAAAACTTATGATTATGGGAAGGATACAGGGAAAGGATACAGAGGAAGATTAGCCAAGGGAAGAAATGTATAGGGCAGAGTTAAGGTAAATTACCAAATTCAGACCTTCCAGTCATCCTTGCCCTATGACTTAGGGTAGTGTTAAATATCAGTATCAGTGTGTGATAATATGCCTGGAACACTGCCAGTATCACTCAGGCCTTGGTGTCTAGAGTTTTTATTAGTGGTTCATCCTCTAGGCATGATTTATGACCCACGTGGCTGATCTTGAGTTTCTAGTATCTAGCCCCTCTGGAGATAATCTGATACTGTGTGGCCCAAGCTCTCACTCTTAATCTTATTGTCGATGTGGCTAAAAGCTCCTATCCATGGGGTGCTTGGGTGGCTCAGTTGCTGAGCGTCTGCCTTTCGCTTGGGTCGTGATCCCAGGGTCCTGGGATTGAGTCCCGTATCGGCCTCCCTGCTCAGTGGGTAGCTTCCTATTACCCCTGCTTGTGTTCCCTCTTTTACTGTCTCTCTCTGTCAAGTAAATAAGTAAAATCTTAAAAAAATAAAAGACCCTCCCCGAAATTACAGTGTTGCTGTCTGGCTGGCTCAGCTCTCTCATAGGGCTTTGTGATTATTTCCAGGAGCAACGGCCAGACCTCTTATTGGGTAAAGGTAAATTCTTTTTACATACTCCCATATGAATCAAGTTTTGATTTCCCAAATATGCCAGCTTTCTTAATTTTTATTGTTTAAGGTGGTTGCTTTTTATTAATTTTTTTTTAAGATTTTATTTATTTGACACAGAGAGATCACAAGTAGGCAGATAGGCAGGCAGAGAGAGAGGGGGAAGCAGACTCCCTGCTGAGCAGAGAGCTGATGCAGGGCTGGATCCCAGGACCCTAAGACCATGACCTGAGCCGAAGGCAGAGGCTTAACCCATTGAGCCACCCAGGGACCCCTATAGTTGCTTTTTAAAAATTAACATATAATGAACATACCCTAAAAACTAAAAAGCATACAGTTCAGTGTTTTCTTTCTTTCTTTCTTTCTTTTTTTTTTTAATATTTTATTTATGAGAGAGCGCGAGAGAGCATAAGCAGGGGGAGGGTTTGAGGGAGAAGCAGACTCTGTGCTCAGCACAGAGCTTGATGTGGGACTCGATCCCAGGACCTTGGGATTATGACCTGAGCCAAAGGCAGATGCTTCATCAGTTGAGCCACCCAGGTGCCCCACAGTCTTTTTATTTAATATATTCACCCAGGACATTTCCATTATCCCCAAAGAAACCCTGCAGTATTAGCTGTCATTCCTCTTCCTTGCCTTAGCCCCAGTATCCCAGCCCTAGGCAACCAATAAAGGGCTTTCTCTCTCCATGGAGTTGCAATTTTGGGTATTTCATATAATGGAATCATAGAATTCGTGGCTTTTTGTGACTGGCTTTCTCATATAGTGTGATGATTTGAAGGTTCATTCATACTGTAACCTTTATCAGTACTCTGTTCCTTTATTGCTAAATAGAATTCCGTTGTATGCGCGTGCCGCATTTTGTTTATCCGTTCATCAGTTGGTGGACATTGTGGTTATTTTCACTTTTGGGCCATTAGGAATAATGCTACTGTGAACATGTGTGTACACGTATTTATATGGGAAATAGCTTTTTGTATTTTTGTCCACAGGTTTTAGTTGTAACCAGCCAGAGGGAGAGAGGCTGTTGTTGGTCCACTCTGTCCTCTCCAGGTCTCACCCACTCAATTTTAAGTCATGAAATTGGACTGAAGGGGTTAAGGAGGTTAATAAAGGGGCTGTTTTTTTAGAGTAGATGAGATGCGGTGGTTTGGATTACCTGACTAGTGCTGGAGACAATAGACTGATTTGAGATACATATTTTAAGACTTGCTTTTGGATTGGATGTGGGAAGGAAGAGGAAGGAGGAAATAAGAAATGGTTTCTGGGTTTCAGTAGCTACCGTTTACTGTAGAAAAGAACTGAGGAATTAAACTGGTCATGTGAGGAACTGATAAAGGATTCACTGAGCATGTACTTGTGGGTTCAAAAGAAAAGCTCTGAATGTCTGGAGGGGTGCGAAGGTCTTCAGGTGCAGGACCTGGTTATAAGTCTCGAGATAGCAGTGAAAAGGTGGAATGATCTGGAGCTGTAGAGTAGGTATCTGTTGTCTGAGAGAAATACCTAATACCTGTTCCGGACATCAGTGAGTAAGCGGTTCTCCTAGTGCGTTACAGAATGTAAGAATATATCCTTTTTTTTTTTTTTTTTAATGATAATATACTTCACTTATGTTACAAAGTCTATGTTAGTAAGGTAGGTACTGAAGTCCGTTATTTAAATATAAATGTTTACTTTTAGAAAATTGCAAATTGAAACAAAGGTATGTATCCTCCAGCTAAACTGTAAATGGTCTTCCCAACCCAGACTATATTGAAGTCAGCCTTAGGCATTTTATTACTTCCGCATTGCAGTATATATTTAATAGCTGAGAAGTTAAGAGACTGTGTGCAAACTGGATATTGTGTCTTATCAGAAAGAGAGCAGCTAAGCACAGACGTGAAGTATGCATACTGTGGGTAAAACATACAAAGACTAGTGTGTAAGTCAAATGCTTTACGTATGCTGGGAGACCATTCCTGCTAATCCTTGCTGTTATCCCTCATTAGTACTTTTTTCCTTAGTCTTCTGTACGGCAGGTTCCCCCTCATCGGCTTCGCAGCCATTGGTGTTCACAGTGTACTTTTACAGCATTAAATCTGGGACTCAGGACGTCCTTCTAAAGTAGCCACTGCTTTTGGTGCCTGTCCCTCATCCCCAAGTTTTCTTAACCTGCCTTGTTCATCCTGTTAGCTCTATTACCTTGACTTTTCTTTTCTTTTTAAATTTTTTTTTAAGATTTTATTTATTTATTTGCCAGAGAGAGAGAGAGAGAGAGCACAGGCAGACAGAATGGCAGGCAGAGGCAGAGGGAGAAGCAGGCTCCCTGATGAGCAAGGAGCCTGATGTGGGACTCGATCCCAGGACTCTGGGATCATGACCTGAGCCGAAGGCAGCTGCTTAACCAACTGAGCCACCCAGGCGTCCCTTCTTTTCTTTTTAAAGATTTTATTTATTTATTTGACAGAGATCACAAGTAGGCAGAGAGGCAGGCAGAGAGAGAGAGAGAGGAGGAAGCAGGCTCCTCGCTGAGCAGAGAGCCTGATGCAGGGCTTGATCCCAGGACCCTGAGATCATGACCTGAGCCGAAAGCAGAGGCTTTAACCCACTGAGCCACCCAGGCACCCCGGATTCTTGATACATAATAATTTTGGTGAGGCATGAATTTGAATCTTGAATCTTCCACAAAATCGATGTGGGAGAATAATATGTAGCTAGTAAGAGTGTAGCCAACTACCTAGCTTTTAAAAGTTAG